GCCTACACCCGTAACAGGGCAACATGTGTGCAGATGTGTATGTCTTCTGGATGTCACAAGTGGTGCATTAGCCAATTCGATCTGATACCGGATGTGTTACTGATGGATAGTAGGGGTAAAACTCGCTCTTTAAAGGAAAATTAAGTACCAATGCAGTGGTTAGGATTTTGGGATGTGACGATGTGAACGCTTGGTGGAACTGCTTTTTGCTCACGGGTTGCTTTTGTACCTTGGATGGAAAACCGCAAAGGGCAGAGTTCGTGTCAATGCAAAAACGAGGATTCAGCTGCACAGAAATACTGCTAGCGGTCTGGGATTTTGCTCGGTGCCATGATTTCAGTTGCACGCTGTTGAAGAGGGGTGCTGCCTGGCTCCCACTGAACTGCAGCTTTTCTGTAGCTTCCAGTGAAAGCTGGATCGAGGTCCAAGTATTCTGGAAACTGCGGTCATAGTCGGCTCCGTGGTTTGGTTTGGTTCTGAATTATTTTTTCGCCTCGGATAAAATTTGGGAGGGTTAATACTTACTAGGAGCGTGGCTGTGCCACTGTTAACCCTGAAGTTGGTGACAATGACTTCAGCATTTCTGAAGGGATGGGGCTGGGATGCTAACAATGCATTTAATTACCATATGCAATGAGCAATAAAACCATACTAATCAGAAGTTAATGGTGAAAGCTGCATCCAACCTTACAGCTTTCATCCTGGGAGAACTGGAATGGAGGGAAGCGGGGCCATGCTCTGCACGCTTTGCCGTCTTCCCTCTCCCCTTTGCAAAGGAGAAGGCAGCTGATCTGCGCCCCTGACCTATTCCACCACGTCGTCCCACGCCTCTGCCCGCACGTTTTGGCAGGCAAAGGCTGCCAGCTCAGTTGCGGAGCACCCCTCTTGGTAGTGGGAGAATAGCTGCTCTCCTTTTGCTTACGTACCTAGCATTGGGTTTGGGTTTGTTTGCCACCTCAGTTAGAGACCCTGGTGTATATAGTATAAATGGAGTATAATTAAAAGTTATTTTGATTGTTGGGTTTTGGTTTTTTTTAGTGACATATGTAAAATGTTCATGCCAATGGTTGACTCAGATATATTTTGGCAAGAAAAGTATTAATGAACCGCATTCAGTTCTTTAAATACAGTGAAGAAGTGTATGAGACTCGTGTACAAGGGAGGCTGCTCTGTTCAGGATAAATCTGATGTGAATACTGTACGAACCTGTATTGGCCTTTCAGATTCCAATACTAAATTACTGCTTTTGCAAAAGTCACATCAAACGTTTTAAAATCGGACTGTAAAACGGAAGTTGTATGGTTTGCAACTTTTCATCAGCCTGAAAAGTAAGTACAAGCTTTGGTTAAAGCAAAGTACACTTATACACGTTAATAACGGTGTAGTCAAAATATTTATTGAAAAGAAAAGGTAGAACATTTTAAATGTTGCACCTGCCATTATATCTTAAAGCACATTCTTCACACCTAACTGCCAGTGCCATTACCAAGTCTGTTTTATAAATGTACCTTTCTTCAAACTAAAAAGTGCATAATTAAAAGTATTATGTTACTGCCATATAGTGATATAAAACATTTTATAATTGCCAATTCATTGTAACTATTATTTATTTAAAAGTGAATTGTAAGAATGCTTTCTGATCAAATGAACCAGAGTTGTTTTTAAACCGTTCCCGTTAGCTTGTTTCTAATGTAGCATAAGCAATGTCCTTGGGTTTGTTTAGAATAATTTTGCCAGTAGGTGACCAATTCTAACCCTTTTTCCTCCAGTTTAGTCCTTTACCCGTTTTAAAGACGATTTACAGAAGTTTAGTTTTTTGTATGCTAATCTCTGTTAATTAAAATGTTTATAAAGTTTATTTTTACCAAAGAGATGCAATTCATTATGACAAAATATTGCAGAATAAACTTTGTTTTATAACATTTGTGACTTTTCTGCCCACATTTTTCATTCAGATGATCAAAGGGGCTTTTCTAAAATAAACAGCATTGCAAACAGAAAGCGCTGTGTTCTCTCTTTATCTACAGACCCTGGTCTTAGATGGTGCTCCAGGTCCCCTACCTTGCCATTTAAATCTCTTCCACAAGACTGGGCTAGTGTAAAAAGCCACATGTTGATTCATTGTAAGTCTTAGCTTGGTTAAGACTGTTTCATGCACGTGCAAGTCATCTGTACGCATAACAGAACCCTATCAATCCATAGTAGGATTTGCTCACAGTCAGGTTCATCCATAACTGGCCCGTAATATTTGAAGAGCATCTTACAAGGCCAAGATTCCACCCTTTAACCTGGAAGTCGAGGTATGTTTTGACATCTTGGAAATTGCTGAAATACTACTGCACACCTACTGCCTTCCTGTGCAAAGCATTTGTTTAAACAGAAGTAACTCAAATCTTTTTCTTATGAAACATCTGTGATTATTTACAGTTCTGTATCCATATCGCTGCAGCTCAGTTGCTTGTATGATACTCAAAGATCAGCAGCGTAGTACAGGACAGGTAATTTAAAAAATGTGTCCCTGGATAAAGCTGCATAGGTCTTGTTTGGTATTTTTTCAGCATTTACTTTTCTTCAGATATGATTTACGGCGTCTGTTGGCCGTAAATAATACGTAAGGCCTTATAGAAAGCACACAGGTGGGAACACCCCCCTCTTCATTAGCAGGAAGCAGGAATGAAACACTCCCCATCCCACTTTCCACGTGCCTCAGCTTGCTGCGCCCGGGCCAGCTTTCCCCTCAAGTGCACGCACACACGTGCGACCTTCCAGTTCCTGAGAGGCAGAAATACCGGAGGGAAACAAGATATGACATGATGCTTCTCTCTCTTAAAAGCAGACGTTGGTCCATCTCTTCTGTTTTTATTTTTTTAACCTACTACTATCACTGAGTTAAGTTTCCTCTGTAGGATCTGATGGAAATACAGTTTCTTTTGCAATACTTGAATTGATATGGTAGTTTTTAACAAAGACTTGCCTTCATCACTGTATCAAATAATATCTAAATCACAAATTACAGAATATATATGTGCTATTAATATCTTTGATGTAGTGTTCATCATAATATACTGATAAGAACAACTGCTCTAATTAGTTTGGACAAAATCACAGCTATGTATCATATGTTAATGATATCCTTCTAATTGTTATTCACTATATTGTGCTAAGAGAGCCTTGAGTTGGTTGTTAAATTTCCCAAGAGTGTTTTCCTCTGTTACGACTTTGCTGGAAATGACCCTCTGTATGGAGCCGCAACTCTCGAAATAAAGCATTAACTGAAGCAATTACCCACTTACACCAGCTGTATTTTAAGGACATTTGTTGAGGAAATACTTAATAGATCAGATTTATTTTGCAAAAATGGCTGTCTAAATTTGACACAGAATATGGTTATACTTTCACAGATCTTGAGTTTCCAGATACCTGTAAGTGTTCTTAGTTTGAATAGTCTGAGTAAATATATAATCTGGTGTGCTTAGAGGTAATCGCATACAAATATTAGTCCAGCAATGTTCCTGTGAACTTTCCTAGCATATTTGGACATAGAAACTCTCTTCCCTGTTTTTACCTGTGAGAGTTGTTCTTGCACCTGAGACAGCAAAGCAGTATCGCCTCTGCTCAAATTTTGAGTCTTCAGATCAGCTGGGTTTCTTGTTCTCCCTTTTCTTCCAGAAGGCTCTCCTGAAAGCTACCTGCTCTTACAGTTATAAACTACTTACAGCTAACGTAAGATTATTGACTACCCTCTGCCAGTGTTAGTTTAAACAGCTCTTCGTTAAACATCAGAGTGTTTGTTTTCCTGTTGCATCAGTACAAAAGCAATCATTTCCCTCCTTAGGCTTTTGACTTATTAAACAAAACAAGATTATTTGGTTTCTGTTTGGAAGACGTGATCTTCATTCCTCTTAACCACTTTTTTGTACATCAATTCCACTTTGAATTTGGCCTGCTGGCATGTGCGGGAGAAAAGCTACAGGCACTCTTGTAGAGTGCTGGTGCTTTTTGTAACCTGGCCTTAATACCTTCCCTGACTTTGCAGCACCACTCTTGCCTGGCACGTCCTGGGCTTGTCATGGCCTTTACCACGGTCACATACAGTTGACTAATCCTGTTATCAACCAGTATGTCCATGTCTTTGTTCTCTTCCTGTCACTGCCAAATGGCGAGGCCCCAGTCAGCAGAAAAAGTTGGTAGTTCGTGACCTGGAACTTGATTTAATGAGATCTGTCCCGATCCTGACTCTTCATGATCTCTCCTGGTAGCCTTCCTGCTCACCAGGAACTCCCTTCTGGCACAGCCTGTCCAAATAAAGGAAGAAGGACAAGATTTGTCAGCCATGATATGTATTTCATCAATGCACGCTGCCGTTCAGCTCATTTTGCAGTTACCTACAGGGTAGGTTTTTTTGGTTTAAAACAGTGGGGACAGATCAAAGGTGTCTTTGCCTCATGTCTTAATAGGAGATGCTACATTTGCCATTGTCACACTTCACTGGAGTCATCGGAATGACTACCCTCAACCAAGTACTCGTTTGTGCTCTTTCAACGTTCAGAGAAGGACATCCAGTTTCTTAAAAGTAGGTATGTCTACCTCAGTGTTGCTTTTATGCTGGTTGCCATAATCTCCATTTCCATAGTATCTTGACTTTCCAAGCCCTAACGGGCAGCACGCTAGATTGGACTGAATACCTGATTTTTGTATCTATTCCAAAGACGCTGGTAGCAGTTAAGCACTTGGTTATTCTCATGCCTAGAGATGCAGGTTGGTCCCTATCAGACCAACCTCAGCAGCACTGATGTGCTTACAGGCTTTGCAGTTGGCAGGCAGGCGTTCAGAAAAATCTCTGTAGGTGCCTATCAACCTTTACAC